ATTTCAAATACTCACTCACGCGGTGTTATCAGAATTGCCCCTGTGGACTTAAACGATTTTAAAAAAACTTACCCTTAAGGCTGAGCCGGCTGTAACGCTCATTGCATATTGACAGGTCAATTCCCTGAAAGAGTGAAGGAAAGACAAATCAGCATAACGGAAAGAGCAGTGGCCGCCATAAACCAGACCAATGAAAAGGACGTCGAAATACGGATATGACAGTCAACTCCGGAGTTGCTGACAGCAGTTTGGTCAATTCAGGAAATGATAAGCGCAATGAATAATGAACTTCAGTTGAAAATTGTACGTGCTATAATAAAACAATCATACTTAATAGTCACTTTAACGTGGATTTCAACTCAATAAACAAATAATTGCAGTATTCTTAAGTCATTATTACTGTTACCATCGCCCATAAAATGCAGTAGGAAATAGAAATGACTTTCCGCTGGCTTTGGTATCTGATGTTGATCTAGAATATACTACACGGTATGCTGTATAGCGGGAAGAGTGCAAAATTGTCATGCAAAAAGTGAGTCTCTGAAGGCGACCAGTGTGCGGCCTATGAGCATAGTTGGGCCTTGCACCTTCTGTTGACAATAGACAATGAAGGTTTCGGGGAACAGAATTCGATTAGTATTAAAACTGTGTGCGACGAATGGTAAATCCACTTAGGGCTGTGCAGTGCGTCCCAACTTAACAGGTTACATCATTTCTTGGGCAACCTGTGTCTGGGTATAGCAGAAGGACAACGCTGACGACTTGGCACACTTGTAAATACTGGCGTGACATCTGAAAAGAGGTGTACTTGTAAGCAGGCCGAAAAATGCACACCTGCAAAAGGGTAAGGCGACTGAATGCCGATCTGGGTCAGAAAGCTCGCATGTAGTTAAGCTAACAATAACATCTGAATAGGGCATACATCAAGGTGATAGGACTTACTCTTAACTGCTCCAGGAGGAACTCGATCGGAGCAACCTTATAGTATTTACAAGAGGCGGTGTACGCGGAAATCAGCTCATCGCTAGTGCAGTTGTCCGAAGCTAAAGGAGGGACAGTGAAAGGGAAAAGATCAACCGAAATGAAGAATCCTCTTAAAAGTCAGTAGCTGTAACAAGGGTTGGAAAATGACACTAAGACAGTCATGTCTTGGGGTCATAAGGCGAAGGCTTTAGAAAAGTTTCAAGACTACCAAACTTGAAAAACTGTGTTTGTTCCCAATTTAGCCAGAATAAATCTCAACAATAAGATTGATTATAGGCCGAAATACCATAAGAAGAGTGGCAAATTATAAGAGCCGGCATTTGTCGCACAAGTTCAACAGGGCACGCGTTCAAAACCGGCAATCACATTAGCATCTATCTGCCGACACCAAGGCGCAGTAGACAGTACCGCTGGGATGAGTAAGCCCCTTTATTGTATCAACCGAACACACAGCCTTTGGTTCGAGGAATGATATTTGTTTTAGAATAGGTTTAACTTAAAATGACGTTCAGGAAAGTCAGTAATGTAGGTTTTCAAATCGGTTAAAAAATAACACAAATAACATAATTCAATGGCAATAAAGTGTTGCACGTATTAGAACTCTAACTACGAAGGAAGTTAAAGGTGTTGACTGTTTAACGCGTACTGGGCACAAAGGGATCCAAGTAGCCAACGACTAAAGAGTCGTCCTCGGGGAAGCGGACACGTCGCTTAGACTTTGAAGACAGTGCTGGTGGCGGTTGCGCATCAGCTTGGGGATTTTCATTGTGGATGTCAGAAACACTCCATTGTTCAGCAGGCGTTTGTGGAGTGGATGAGGGTGCTGATGGTTTTTTACTCGCATTTGCAATGTCCGTTGACATCAATGAGCCTAGAGGAAAAGGACAAAGTATTACTCTTTGGTTCCTGCAAAAGGTTGCAAGGGCAATTTTTTTAGTCAAATAACCAATCAGCTGGTGCTCTTTCCGTACACATGACCATACGGTATTTTGAAATGATGGAAGATGAGGACGGACTACTTTGCGCCGACTTCAGAGTCAAATTTTACTGGCTGATAATAAAATGAATTCTAACATGCGAGATGATGATTAGACAGAAAATATGACATAGAAGTGTCTAAAATTAGGTCAAGATATTATACCCACACCTGTAGTTTCTTAACGTTAGGACCAAGTAGAGCCGTTAAACACGGCAAATGTGCGAGCCCCAAAACGGAAGAAAAAGTCCGCTGTGTAGAATCCGTAGACGAAGTTAATTCGAACGGTATAATATGACACTTGACCGATAGCGGGACTTCGACTTCACTGACTAACAAACCGTGAGTATATGACGTGTCAACAGGTTGTGAGTAACAATAGGAATTATAAATTACAAAAGCGTGGAAAAAACTGCGCATACTAGCACGCAACTTTGTTTTGTAATTTGTCGAACGAACCTCCGCTGGACTGCAACGGATGTATTGTGAAAGCTCGTGTGTCAAACCAATGCAGTATACACCGATAAACGCAGTTAGGCGAGGAATTTAAAGAATCAGACGTAGAAATTTCAAACTGCACGAGGGTTGTAATAAAAGGACGAAACTAGCGCATTAGACTTTTGTTAAACTAATACCGCCGTCAATAGCACCATATATCGACTAGCAGAGTCGATTAGTTTGATTAGCTTACCCTAACGGTCGTATCCGCGTTGCCACGCGAACGTAAACTGCTTCGATGGAGGCGGGTCAAATAATTAGCTCAAGTAAAGAAATTCGGCCATGCTAAACAGACTGAAGCACTTCGAGTTGGTAATAAAATATAGCGAAAACAGCAGACCGGGTGAGTCTTGGTAGAAGATAGTCAGAGTACAGGCTGATGTTGAGATAATGAGTTAGACAGGT